GGGAAAGCGGAAAGAGTCCTGAAGGACAAGGGAGTATTGTTCTTCATGTGCTCTCGCTGCCCTCTCTTTGGCAGATAACAGCTTTGAGAAGAGAACTGCCTGGCTTCCACAGGTCTGCCATAGGGTGTCTGGAGTACCTGGGGCTCAGACCTCCAGGGTTAAACTGTTTCCAAGTAATCTGGGAAACTTGGATGCCCTCCTGTGGTTCTTTGTGGTATGTATACAGTTTCCCTTGGAGAACGCAATCAAAATAATGGTGGAACAGCAAGAGGGGCTGCTATTCTCACCAACCAGCAGCATCAGCCTCTCTGGTCTACCTCAGACCTACTATCTTAGAATCTTAATTTTTAACAAGATCCATGAGTGATTTAGGCATACTGTAAAGGGCTCTGGTGGCATGATGGCTAAGCATTCAGCTATTAATGGAAAGGTTGGTGTTTTGGATCCATCAGCCGCTCCACCGGAGAGGTGTCAGTCTGACTTCCTGAAGATGGTGGTGGTTGTCGTTAGGTGCCATGGACTTGGTTCTGGCCCTAATGGAGACCTGGTGGTGGAGTGGGTTACATGTCAGGGCTGCTAATGGCAAGGTCAATAGTTCAAAGCTGCCTGCTGGTGTAAGGGAGAAAGATGAGGCTATCTACTTCCATACAGAGTTACAATACCATCTTCACAACTGTTCTTACGTGTGAGCTCTGTGGCAGCTACTCTGCCCGTCTCTCTCATCTGGGAGGAGTTTCCTCTTTCTTGCTGCCCTTCTACTTTACCAACACACTGGTCTCTCCTGACAACATGGCCAAAGCATGTGAGACACCGTCTCGCCATCCTTGCCTCTAAGGGGCATTCTGTCTGGACTTCTTCCAAGACAGATGTTTGTTCTCTTGGCACTCCATGGTACTTTCAAGTCTTCACCAGCACCACAATCCAAACACATTGATTCTTCTTCTGTCTTCCTTATTCCATGTCCAACCTGCCCGTGCATGTGAGACATGAGACTCAAATCTTGGGTCGGGCACACCGTAGTCATCAACATAACATCCTTGCTTTTTGACCCTTTAGTGAGGTCTTCCGGAGCACACTTACTCAATGCAGTGCATTATCCGGTCTCTTGCCTGCTGCTTCCACAAGCACTGGTCGCATAGCCCAGGAAGATGAAACCCTTGACCGCTTCAACCTTTTTCTCCATTTATCACGATGTTACCTACTGGTCCAGTTGTGAGGCTCTTGGTCCTCCTTACCTGGAGTTGTCATCCCTACTAAAGGCTGCCATCCTCGATCGTCATCAGCAAGTGCTCCAAGTTCTCTTCACTTTCAGCAAGCAAGGTGTTATCTTCTGTACATCTCCACTTTTAATAAGCCATCCTCAACCCTGATGCCACATACTTCTTCATAATATCCTGCTTCTCTGAGTATTGCTCAGCATACAGATCGAATATGTAGGGTGAGAGGATACAACCTCGACACACACCTTTCCTGATTTTAGACCACACAGTATGTCTGTGTTCTGTTTCCACTACTACCTCTTGGCCCATATACAAGTTCCACATGAGCACAATGAAGTGTTCTGGAATTCCCACTCTTCTCAAGGCTAATTGGTTCTCAAGGCTAGTTGGTTATGAGCCACACAGTCTAATACTTTTGCATCGTCAAGGAAACACAAGTAAACATCTTTCTGGTATTCTCTGCTTTCAGCCAAGGTTCATCAGAAATCAGCAATGATATCCCTTGTTCCACATTTCTCTTCTGAATCCAGCCTGAACCTCTGGCAGCTCCCTGTCAATGTACTGCTGTAACCATTGTTAGAGGATTTTCAGCACAATTTTACCTCCATGGGATATCAAGGAAATTGTTCAATAATATTCAAATTATTGAACCTTTTGCTGGGTGACCTTTCTTTGGCATAGATACGAATATGGATCTCTTCCAGTTGGTTGGCCAAGTAGCTGCCTTCCACATTTCCTGGCACAGAAGAGTGGGTGCTTCCAGTGCTTCATCAGCTTGTTGAAACATTTCCATTGGCATGCTCTTGTGAAGATTCCAGCCTTGGGAATGCTCTGTGACAGTTCTTCTCCATCATAGGTGATCGCTGAGTCAACATGCTCTGATGACAATGAGTTTATAATACTGTGGTGCAAATGGTTAACACACTTGGCTGTTGAACAGAAGGTTGAGCCCATCCAGAGGTGTCTCAGAAGAAAGGCTTGGCAACCTCTTCTGAAGACTGCCTCTGAGCATCCGACGGCACACCACGGTTCTCTGTTGCCACCCACAGGCTCCACGTGAGTCAGGATTGACATGACTTTTATTTTTCCATGATATTGTCATAATGGAGACCGGGTGGTGTCGTGGGTTACACGTCGGGATGCTGAGGGCAAGGTCAATAGTTCAAAGCCACCAGCTGCTGTGAGGGAGAAAGACGAGGCTACCTACTCCCGTAAAGAGTTACAATCTCAGAAACCCACAGGGCACTTCTCCTCGGTCCTCTGGGGTCGCCATGAATTGGAGTGGACTTGATGGCAGTGGATTTGGATTCGTTTTAGCACTGTACATTTATCAAAACCCACAGAGCGATGTGACACGCTGTAGACTTTGGTTAATATGGTCAGGATTGGTCCTTCAGTTAGAACTCGTCTCACGTAATGTAAGACATTAATAACAGGGAAGCTGTCTAGGAGGGAAGTTGGGTAATAGGCCACTTTGTGCTTGCTCTTACTCTGCAAACATGAAACTACTTAACAACCTAAAAGCTATTCCTTTGCAAAGGAGCCTTAGTGGCACAGTGACTAAACTCTTGGCTGCTGGTTGGAAGGCTGGCATTTTGAACCCACCCAGCAGCTCCATGGGAGATGACCATGTTGGAATTTGATCATTTGCTTCTGTGAGACATTTCTACGCTGCCACTTGGGGTTTTCATGAATCAAAACCCAACCTGACAGCAACTAACTATACACGCTTTATTTAAAACCATGGAACACTGCTCAAAATCGCCAGGGTGACCCTAAAAGCTCTTCTGTCCTTGCTCCAAGAAAGATGCTGGTGCCAACGAAAGACCACCCACCTCTAAGGCGAAGAGGATGCGCCTCAGGGACTGGCTAGAATAGATTCCTCTCCTTCCCAGATGCTTCAGCTCGTTCTGAGGTGCTCTCTCCCCGAAATACCATCCACAGCTCGCTCTCGTCCTGTGGATCAGCTCATTCTGATCCGGGCAACAGGAGCGCAGCAAGTCTGGAATGACACAGCGCTTCTTCCCCAGCGCTCAGGATGATCATCTTGCGCAGGAAGCCGCTTGGGTAACAGCACATCCCGCACACTTTAGTGCAGCCCAGGGCCTGCCCAGGCTGCGTCAGTTCTGCCCTCCCGACCAGCGCAACTGGAGCCTGTGGCAGAAGAAATCCGCCCGGCGACAGGAGCGCGCTGTGAAGTTGCCCCCAAGAGTGTTGCCCTGCGTCTCAGTTTCCCTCAACATTTCAGCACCACACTTCCCTCCACATTGCTCCTCTGAGGCATCTGGCTCTCAATTTAAATCTTCTCCAAGGAGCTTGGATTTATCCAAAACAATGTATCTTCTTGCATAAAGTCTAGATTCCACTTCAAAACCCAACCCTACCCAACCCATCCTCACTTCTGACCCAGCAGGCTCCTGTTTAGAGGTTTCTGAGACTATGTTGATGGGAGCAGCCAGCTTCCTGTTTTCCTTTGGGGCTAGCTGGTGGGTTTGAACTCCTGACCCTGTGGTTGGCAATCCAATGCCTAACTCTCAGCACCACCAGGTTTCCTGAGATGCCTCTTAGGGATCTGGCATTACTAAACCTTTGAAATAAAGATGAACCTTGGCTATGCTTCCTCTGCACCTGAGGCTCTCTGTGGTGTCTGGCAAGTCACCAAGAAGTGTGTTAATGCCTGCCCTGCCTTCTTCAAGGGATGGCGTGACGGGACAGTAACCATGTTAACTATGGAGCATTAGAAGAGTATGATACGAGATCACTAATGTCACTTACAAAGGCAAACCAACTCCAGATGACTCTCAAGTGCCTTTCTAATGCCCACGAAGGCTGTAGAGATGGTGTAAAAACAGTCATTTAAATGTGCTTTGGGGATGGATTCCTTTTCTAGAGCTCAGCAGTTTGGGGGCGGGTCATGTTTCTAGGGTCTCCCAGGGGGCAGTGTAAGTGTGCATTGGCGTTTAGGGGCAGGGAGTGCCTCTAACAGTGAAATGATTGCAGCGTGTGTGTCCTCTGAGTTGGTGTGTTCTGTCTCAAGTGCCCTTGTGTGCTGCACCCCGGTGTGTGGTTCAGTTTTGGGATTTTTTTTCTCTTAATTGTAAATAGATAGGTAACAAAACATTTGTCATTTCAGTCATTGTCACACCTACAGTTCACTGACATCATGCATGTTCATCCTATTGTTTAATCATCACTATCAATCATTGGTGAACTTTCCCATCACCCTTGATAGATGTTCAATATCCCCTAAGCATGGTGTCTTCCTCTCCCCTCTACCACTGTCTACTTCTGGTAACCCCCAAACCACCACACTCACTGCCATCAACTCGACTCCAACACATAGCAGCTCTACACGGGGCTCCAATGCCGCTGAGCTGAGAGCGTAGGTTCTGGGTTTTCGGCTCTGCTCTGAAGGAGTGTGGCATAAGTAGGCCCCCAAGACCTCCCTGAGCCTCAGCATCCCAGCCTTGTCTTTAGAGTAGAGAATGGGCTGGATAATCGGTCCATTCTCTTTCAGCTCGGTCACGCTGAGCAGCAGCCCAGGGGTACTTTGCTATTGGTTTTACTGCCTACTTTGAGTTCTGGACCTTTGTTCCCCGGGGCTGGCCGCTGGTGCTAGGATTTGACGTTTTGGAAATGATCTCTTACTCATTGAACACGCAGGAAGCTTGAGTGTGAAACTAGTTCATTAACACACACACACCCCAAAACCACAGGGCCTGTCGGCCTGCCGTCATCAGGCAGACGAGAATAGTGCAGAACCCCGTAGGCAGAGAGGAAATGAAGTTGAGAGAAGGAGGAAGACAGGGCAGCGAGAGAAAGAGGGCCCGCGGCGTGGAGGGGGAGAGCTGAGGTGCAGGGTCACCGCCATGGTCAGAAGATGGACGAGGTGGCTGTGAAGCAGGGCTGCCTGTACCTGCAGCAGCAGCAGACTTTTGTCAAGGTAGGGGCAGGGCTGGGCCCCCTAGCAACTGGAGGACTGCTGGGAAGAAGGGGGTAGTTCCCCGAATGCCCCCAAACTCTTCTGAGGTGGTAGTGACCCTGGCATCCTCCGGCTCTCCAGCGCCCCAGCCCCGACCCTCAAAGGGCTTACTCCTTAGCAGAGTCTTGCCTTCCAAGTGGGAACCCCAACAGCTCTTTGCTGATGGCCGTCCGTCCTGTGGGTGGGGGCAGGGGATGCTGACTCAGTCTCTCACCTCCCTTGCCCTGTGGTGGTTTCTGGTGGGGGACAATTTAGGAGGGGGATGGAAGGAACAGCTGTGGGCATCGTTGGAGATGACAGGGGTGCTTCTGTCCCTGCTCTCAAGTGGTGTGACATTGGGGGGCCTTAAGCTAGAGCTGGGGTTCTAGGGGCCCTGGAACTTCTCCTTCCCTGGCCTCCTGGAATGAGGAAGTCTTTCTCCCTCAGCTGATCCACCCCCGCCCGTCCCCCGCCCTCAGGAGATGAGGCAGCAGAGTTCAGAGCAGAGGGGAGACAGGCCTGCCATCGGGTCTGTCCACCAGACTTGGTCCAAAACCAGTATGGCAGGCGGTCTCGGTCGGACTTTGAGACAGTGGCAAGAGACTCTGTCTCTCAGGGTTGGGCCTGCCCTACCTTCTCTCGGTCTGCGTCCTTACGGCTGCTGTCTGCCCCTAGCAGCCTCCCTGCCTCTTGGGTAGAACTTGGGTGCCCTGGGCGCCCTCCAAGGCCTTCTTCTTCCCGCGGTCTCTGTTCTTCCTGGTCATTCTCCTGCGATCTCTCTTTCTCTAACCTCCAACCCCCCGCGCCTGCCCGCCCCAGCCCCTCGCCCACAGCAGTCTCTCCTCTCCCCCTTGGTCACCATCTCTTCATCTCTTGCTGGCTTCCCCTGCCCTGCACCTGCGCTCAGAAATGGCGGCGTTTCCGGGCTGTGCTGTACCGAGAGTCCGGCTGCACGCTGGCCCGGCTGGAGCTCCAGGAGTACCCGGAGAAGCAGCGCCGCGGAGAGGCCGCCCGGCGTGTGGTCCGCCTCAGTGACTGCTTTCGGGTGGCCGAGGCCAGTGGGGAGGCCAGCTGTCCCCGGGAGACCAGTGCCTTCCTCCTGGAGACCAAGGAGCGCCAGTGGCTGCTGGCGGCCCCCACCGCCGAGCTTGGTGACTGGCTACAGGCCATCTGCCTGCTGGCCTTCCCGGTGAGTGATCTAGGGGTGCAGCAAGGGCGTGGGGGGTGTGCCAGAGGCAAGGTCAGGATGCTGGAACAGGGCCCTGGGGGGAGAGCCCCATCTGCAGTGCAGACGGGCAGCAGCTGGGCGCACTGGTGGACAGTGTTTGGGGCTGGTGATGCTCATGGGGGATCCGGGGCCTCTTCCCCAGGGCCAGAAGAAGGAGCTCTCCGGGCCGGGGCTGGAGGGCCAGCCGGGGAAGAGCAGCCGGCCCCGCATGGAGGAGAACGAATTGTACAGCAGTGCGAGCTCAGGTGCGGAGGAGGGCTGCCTCTGCCCTGCTCTCCCCAGGGTGTGGTTGAGGGGAGGTGCAGCCTGGAATCTTCCTGTCTTGTGGTTGCCTTTAGCCCCGACCAGCCCCCTTATCAGTGGCTCCCCATCACTTCCGGCCATGGCCCTTGCAAGGTGGGGAGCCCAGCTTTGCCTGAGTGTCAGCTTTTACCCTGGCCTCACCCCCACGTTCCTGGGCTCGTTGGGGGGCAGACAGCAAGGCTAAGGGGTCCGAGTGAGGGGGTGCTCCCTTTGGGAACTGAGCAGTTGTTTGAATTGTTTTTCCTTCTGACCTGCACCCCGGTTTTAAGGTGTCTTACAGAGCCATCCTGCCTTGGCTGTTCCGCTCTCCCAGTGGGCGTGGGGGCTGCTGGACAGCGGCTTCATTTAAGCCCCACCCCACAGAGGGCACAGCCTGGTGGATAGACTGATAGACTGACAGCTGCCAGGGCAGTGCCAGGGAGGCAGCTGGTGGGGAGGAGGGTGAGACGCGCTTGAATGGGTGAAGAGTATAGGCCTTGTGGCCCCGGCAACATGGGCAGGAAGGATGTGGGCACCAGGCTGAGGTGGATGTGGCTAGGTCATGATGCCTCCTGGGGGTGTAGGCACCTGAGTTGGGGGAGCGTGCCCTTGCAGGGAGCAGCTCAGCCTTCAAGGTCGAGGCTGGAGGCGTATGGGTACATGCATTCCGCGCTGTCTAGGGACATTCTGGCCTTCTGCAGGCAGAACAGGCAGAGCCGGGGCAGGCCAGCTGTTGCCCACTAAACGCCTGTTTTTCTCCCTTCTGCTCCACAGTGGTGGCCCAGAAGAAGTTTGCTGTGACCATCAGGCCTACTGAAGCTAGCGAGAGGTGCCAGCTCTGGGGACCTCATACGCTCCGGGTTGGGGAGAGTGCCCTGGAGCTGTGGGGCGGCTCGGAGGCAGGCACCCTACTCTACAGCTGGCCTTACAGGTTTCTGCGGCGCTATGGGCGAGACAAGGTGTGAAGGGAGCTGCAGCCTTGTGGAGCAGGAGGGAGGAATGTTGGAGAGGTGGTGAGGGCAGAGGGAGGGGGAGAGAGAGAGAGAGGAGAGAGAGAGAAAGGAAGGAAGAGAGTACAGGTAGGGGAGAAAGAGAGGAGAGAGGAATCAGCAGGAGAAAGATGAGGCTTTCGGGGCCTTGGAAGAGCTCCAGTCTGGGAAACCCACAGGGGCAGCCTTACCCTGTCCTGGGAGTCCGACTCCACTCGCTGCAGGCAGTGAGGTTTTTCAAGAATGCAGGAGTCCTGGTGGTGCACTGGTTAAACACTAGTCTGTGAGCCCCAGAAGGTGGGGGTTCAAGCCACTGCTGGGCTACCTGGAGGAGCCCTTGCCCGTTGTCTACCTGCCCCCTGCCCCTGGGCTCAGACACCTATAGTAGGGGTGACCTTGGCAGCCCTCTTGCTGCTCAGCTCACTGTCATCCAGTCGATGCTGATGTACAGAGACTCCTGCCTCCCCCCTCCCCCCCTCAGCCCTGTGGGATTCTGAGACGGTAACTGTTTACAGGGGTAGAAAGCCTGGTCTTTCTCCCACAGAGCTGCTGCTGCTGGTGGTTTTGAACTGCCGGCCATGCTGGAAACCACAGCTAGTATCAGAGAGCAAATTTTTCTTTTGTCCAATAATTCCTTGGTTTCCCAAAGAGAGAAGGTTCAAGAGCAGCCCCCTCAGTGGGACCCCTGGGCCTTGCCCTTTCCCCGCCAGCAAGCCTGGGAAGGTGGAGAGAGAGGTGGAACGGGCGAGGGAAGAACAGATCCTGGGAGGGGGGCGCTCCGGGAGGCGGTGGGTTGGAGGTGGGTTCCAGCCAAAGCAACTGCAACCAGCCGCCTGACCCATCGCCTGCCTCTCCCCTCTGCCCAGGTGACCTTTACCTTCGAAGCAGGCCGGCGCTGCCTGTCCGGGGAGGGCAACTTTGAGTTTGAAACCCAGCAAGGCAACGAGATCTTCTTGGTTCTGGAGGAGGCCATCTCTGCCCAGAAGAACGCAGCCCCCCCGGGGCCCCACACGCAGTCAGTCACTGTCCCCAGCGGGCTGTTCCAGCTGGAGAGCCCCTACTCCCGGCCCCATGACTCCCTGCCGCTGCCATCGTCCGCCACGGTAGTGCCTACGCCCCGGCCTCGGGGTGCGGAGGGGGAATACGCGGTGCCCTTCGATGCTGTGGCCCGGTCCTTGGGAAAGAGCTTCAGGAGCATCCTGGGGGTCCCTCCCCAGCTCCTGGCTGACCCTCTGTATGACAGCATCCAGGAGCAGCAGGCCCCCCACCCCGACAGCATCCCGGAGCACCAGGCCTCCCGCCCCGACCACATATACGATGAGCCTGAGGGGGTGGCTGCCCTCTCCCTGTATGACAGCCCCCAGGAACCTCAGGGTGAGGCATGGAGGAGGCAGGCCAAAGTGGACAGGGACCTTGGCAGCCTCCAGCATGTCTTTCCAGCAGGACAGGACCTCTCTGCCTCGGACTGGCCTCAGGTGACTGAGTATGACAACCTCATACTCAAGAAAGGCCCAAAGTGATGGGGGAGATGGAGGAGGTGCAGTCCACATCAGAGCTGCTAGGCGATGCTGGGAGTGGGGGTGAGAAGCTGCGAGGAGGAGTGAGGAGCAGGGGGCGGGGTGTTTGTGTGTGTGTCAGGCAGACCTCCCCCTGTGGCTTCTGCTTCTGGTGACTCCTTTTGGTCACTGCACCCACAGGACCTCCTCCTGCCCCTCATGTGTTCCTGATGGCTTGGCCCTCTTTCCTTTGGTTTGGTGACTTGCCCTTTTTAGTGCCCACGGGGTGGTGGTGGGGACAAGGGGGCACCCTGGGGAGACCCGCCTTCCTCCCACTTCTGGTCCCAGCCTGGGACATTGGGAGCAGGGGATAAGAGGATGCAGGATGGATACCTGTTTCTGTGGGGCTCAGACTTCTCTGTGGCATTAAACATCGATGACACATTTCTGTGTGGTGTGAGGGCTGTGGAGGTGGGGGTGGCACTGGGGCAGCCTTGGAGGGGGGTGGAGAGGGGAGGGAGGGGAAGAGTGTGCCAGGTGGCCCCTGCCAAGCACCTCCTCTCCACTAGGCCTGCTGCAGGGTCAGAGCTTCCTGGAAGCCAGGGCACCATGGGAAAGGTGCCCAGGTATCTCTGATCTCTTGCTGGCATTGGGGTCCACACCAGAAACATGATGGGGAGGCAGGGGGAGTAGCATCAAAGCTGGGCTGGAAGAAAGTTGGTAATTATTGGGCTTCTTGTGGACTAGGCCTTACTGTGGGCCGAGATGATGCCGACTCACAATGATGCCGACTCACAATGATACCGAGTGGCAGAATAGCCTGGCCCTGTGCAGTTCCCTAGGCCGTAATCTTCACGGAAGGGGATCGCCATGGCTTCGTTTCACAGAATGGCTGGCGGGGTTCCACCACCCACCCACCCACCTTTCGGTTAGTGGCCAAAGATCAACCCCTCACAGCCCCACTTCTCTGCACGTAGGAGACACAGGACAAAGGATCTCTCCACTTGCTGACCAGCTGTGTGGCCCTGAGCAAATCTCTTCCTTTCCCGGAGACTGGCCCCACCCCCTTTGTGTCGGCCAGTGAGGGGTGAGAGCCCTTCTGTCTCTGTGATTCCCCAGAGGCCCCCGTGGGGCCCAATTGCTTGCACCCCAGACGGGATGAGCAGCGAAGGTTGTCATCCTAAGTTCCAGAAGAGGTGAAACAGTGTCCTGAGTTTAGAAGAACGGCGCCATGCCAAAGGTGGCATGTTGAGGGAGATGTTCAATGTGGGAAGGCACCTGAGGAGGAATTGGATGGAAGGAGGGATAGCTGCTTACAGACCAGCTGCTTACAGTCATCCTGGGAAGGAGGGATAGAGAAAACAGCTAAGAGGATGGTGGGCAGTTTGCATGTATGCAAGCGTTCCACATTCAGAGTGACAACGTGGGAAGGGTGACTCAGGTCACTCAGAATTTGTACCTCATTTGAAGGGAAGGAGGGAGCCTGGTTAAGCGGGCAGCAGCAGGTGGGGTAAGTGCTGGACTCCTAACCCAAAGGGTGGTGGTTTGAATCCACCAGCTGCTTCTCAGGAGAGAGATGAGGAAATCCTGTGGGGCGGGTCTACTCTGTCTTTGACCTTCACCATGAGTCTGAATTGGCTTGACAGCTTTGTGTGGAGTTCTTTTTAAAGGAAGGAGAACGTTAGGCTCTTGAGCCCCGTAGTAGGAGTTGAGCTTTAGGGTGATAACCCCAACAGCTCCGTGGGAAAGGGACTAGAGGTAGAATGCACCCGATTTAATTTCTTTCACTGCCCCCGAGTTGATGTTGACTGCTAGCAACCCTACAGGACAGGCTGGAACTGCCCCTGTGAGTTTCTGAGGCTGTCACTCTTCTCGGGAGCAGAAAGCCCTGTCTTTATTGTGGGGTGGCTGGCGGTTTCGAACTGCTGACCTTGTGTACTGTAGCCCAACGCAGAGGCACTCAGCCAACAAGGCTCCAGGAGGTTGAAGAAAGGAAGAGTGCAGAAAAGGCAGTGGTTCCCAGTGCACGATAGAGATAGCACCTGCAGACCTGGGAGCTGTGTTAGATGTGGGCACAGAGCCTCGGCCTTCGAGAACAAGATGGCTGGGAGAGGTGGTCTGTAAGCAGCTAGACAGGGGCTCTGAGGCGTAGGAGGGAAACAAGATACAGCTGTATGGATGGATGGACGTTGACCTTCTATTTGCGTTTGTGACCTAAGTCTGATCGCTCCCGGCTGTGCTCTTCACTGGGGACATTCAAGGCAGGTGGGTGAGTGGGCTCAGGGATCAGGGCTGGGAGGGCCACCTGGAGCCCAGCCTCTTGTGTTTGTACTGAAGGGCTGCCCCTACTGGCACCAGCTTCGACCCGCCTCAGAATTCACCGGAGGCCAGAGGCCAGAGGCGCTTATGCCTCTGAGGATTTGGGGCAGGGAGGCCAATTTCCAGGAGACAGCGTTTAAGGTGGACATCCGGGATCCTCCCAGCAGGGGGCAGTGTTAGCCCATGGAAAGGACCACTGGGGGCTTAGCGGTGGCTACTCTTGGGGTCTGGCCCTGAAGGAACTTAAATATTTACCTCTCTGGAAGGGAGGATCCTTTGAATCTGCATTTTAGAGTTTGCCTCTGCAGAGAATGCCGTCTGGAGACGTGGTGTGAAGGGGCCCGGGATCCTTCCTTGGAACTGGCCCCTCATGTCACCCTCAAGATCCAGGACCATGAGCTTCTGCCCTCTGGGGCTGACTCAGCTTCGCAAGGGGAAGTTGTAGTGGGGGGCCCCTGATCAAGGTGGGGGCAGGGCCGCGGGGCTGGCAGGGGAAGTAGAGCATTTGGGGAAGCTGGGAGGGGTAATGAAAGTCCTTGGGGTGGTAGTTGAGGAAACTGACATGTGCTACTGCCTCCCTCTGAAGATGTGGCGCCCTGGGCGTGTCAACTTGAGGGAACACGGTCAGCACAGTCACAGCCAGCCCAGCGTTATCATCACCTAGGGCACGTGCATCACACCTATTTCCCCCGTCCCCCCTCCACCGCCCC